AGATATTGTTGAATCCCAAAATCTATATTGCCATAGTTAATTGCCTAGGTACATTTTTTTCAGAGTTAAAAGCAATTCTTGTCTTGTATTTCTACTGTGGAAGCTTTTAGGAAATGTTTACATTTAATAGAAACATTTGCAGTTTTACAGCATCTAGAGATGAAGTTGTGATACTGCACTTTGAACTTTTTCTAAACATGGGAAGTGTCTTGTAAAATTGATTTTTTTTTTTTCCTTAATTTTTCAGAGTAATTTTGTGGAAGTGAGAAGAAGCCTTGATTTTGTTTCATCTCCTAGATTATTAACATGGTTAAGTTAAAAAAAAAAAGTCAAGATAACTGACGGTGCTTGTGATGTACAGTTTCCGTTTATTGCCCAATGTGAAGTTGAGCACAGGGTTTTGCTGAGAGTGTGTATCTGCTTGCACATTTGCTGTACTGGTTAAATATGTTCTTATCTCAAGTGCTCATCATTTTCAAAAAGCTGACTTAGCACAACCATTCCTGGAGTTCTGCAAAATAAAGAGTTTGAATGGGCTCGTCTCTGGTCCAGGCATAATCAATTGAGCTAATTAAAACTGCTGAAACAAACCTGATTGACTTTTCATGAAACGAACTGGGAAGCTCTTAGTTATGTGCTCGACCAGCAGAACTGCAAGGCAGAAGCAGGTTGTGCGGGAAGGGGGGATTGGAATAGTGACATTTTGACTCAGCACCATTTCTTGTGGTGAGAGCAGCTTGTGTGCGCTCAGGAACTGACCATCTGCACGTAGGAATACCCCGTATTTTCAGGGAGAAGACAGTCCCTCCCCAGTTTTTGCTTGTTCTTAGCAATGCTCAAATGTTTATAGAAAGCAAACCAGTGAATCATTAGAAGTGTTCTTCATACAGTGTCTCCTTTAACTGCAGGCTGGTGGCGTGCTGGAATGTGGGGATATCTCTGTGGCTGTTTCTTTCATCAGTCTGATTCTTTTGAAATCATTTTATTCTGTATTTTCCATACTAGAGGTTTACAGAAAAATGTTTATACTACAGCTTCAAACATATACTGAAACGCTAGAAAACCTAAAGAATTTTTGTGGATTCCTTATATTGAGATCAGATGTGGGAATGTCATATTGAATATCTGCTGTACAAAACTCAGATGATTTTAATGGAAAATAAGGATCTGAAATGGTATGTGCCTAGCAGCAAAATAAAAAGACAAGGAAAGGGAACGGACAGAGAGAATTATGTAATGGCTCAGAATTACACCTTGGTGGTTATAAGTCCATTTCTCTGCTGTGCTGACAGAGAAAGTAATAGCTGCATTTATGTCTTTTTCAATAACGTGAAACTAGTTTCTAAAGGGAAGTGTAGTATGTGAGAGAGCCTGCAACGTAAGCAACACGTTAATCCATCTGATTGAAATGTCCTAGGGGCTGAGGCAGTTTCAGCTGCTGTTTGAAAAAAAAATACAGCAGTTTTTAAAGTGTGTAACAAAACTTTGGACATTAATAATGTGTCAACTGAAACTTGGGTTTATTGATTTTTATTACTCTAAAAGTTAGCTTAAAATGTAAGTGTCAATAATACTGGTGATCAATAACTGAAGATGAAGTGCATAAACAGGATATTTTCAATAGGAAAGCTTATTTGATCACGAGTCGAATGGATTTCCTTGTTAAGGTTAATCGTTATTGAAGCAAAACTTAATAACTTTAGTAAAAAGCAGTAAAATGTTTACATTATGTGGTTGTTATCACGTTCACTTGTGCTCTGCCTGCATTTCATAGACATGGTTTAAATTGATGTGTGGGTATATGCATATCTGCATGTTTGGGAGGGGAATGTAACCTTTGTGTTAGGGAAAGCACGGAAGGTCTTTGACTTGTAATCTGCTTTAGGGCAGGAAGGCTTTGGCAACCCCAAGCAAAATGTGCCACATTGGCTGCAAATGATGAGAATCAACCTGTACCTTGACTCTTCCACCTCATCTGTTACAAGTAATAAAAACCTGCTGCTTCTGTGTTTCTTGCCACTCAAACTTGTGCTGGCCTTGGCTGGTGGAGGTGCCTGCTCCGGTGAAGGGAACTAGAGTCGGGGGCAAGCCCCAGTAACGTTTAAAACAGAGGTTTATAGGCTCCCAATTAGATTTACATAAACTGTAACTGTTCTATGCTTAGGAAGAAGGCCTTTAACTTTGGAAGTACAAATTATTTGGAGGGATTGAATACTGGTACTGATCAGCAGACTTTGGGCTCTTGGACGTTCCTGAGAAGAAGGGAAAGGATGGCAATGGACATTGCTGGCAAATCCTAGCTGAAAGTATTTAGTTTAAAATTTTGTGGCTAGAACTTTTATATCAGATGACGACATTTTGTTCCTGTCCAACATTGCTAAGAGAACATTTAGTGACAGGTGATCTTATTTTAAAACAGAACATTTTTCATCACAGATGCAATTGTATTCAGAGAAAAATATTTCTGTGGAATTCTGCTGGTCTCTGGAGAGCTTATGAGAAGCATGTATCTGAAGAAGGGAGCACTTAGTCACTACTAAGACTTTATTTTTTTACCTAGAATATTGATATTTTAGCTTCATTCTTCTCCTTAAAGGATGTCGTTCCTTGAAAACGCAAAGATTTTTTGAGGTGTGTGAAGATTACTAGTGTTTTCTGTCTTGAGTTGGATTTATCCTATGCTTTTTAGAGGCTGCTCTTCCAAACTCATTTCAAAGGATCTCTTTTCTTTGAGTTTATCTGAGGTCTCTGTTTCTCTGACATGAACAACTTGGAGACTGGAGAAAGAATATGAGTTTTCCTATTTTCTCATCATCATGGCTAGGCATCGCGAACGAAGATTTGGGGAGGGCTCTACCCATGTTTGTTACAAGTGCACTGGTGGCTAAAAAGGCCAATGCGAGGAAGATGTGTCCGGTTGCAAAAGGCACAGCAGAAGGACTCCCTAGGTGGTATATTCTGCAAGGCACGAATCTTTCTGCATTTCCTGTTTTCTAACACAGTGTCATTCTTCATTTGCATGACATTAGTCATAATTTATATGATACCTTCTAGTATCATATAAATGATATGAACCTTATAGTTCTTTCTGAACAAGAAAGAACTGGCTTTGTAAGAGCTGAAGATCACTCCATTTCTTGTTGCGGTAGGGGCTCATTATTTCTTGTTGTGTCACTTTATACTGGATTAGTACGATAATGGGATAAATTAGGATACGGACTTAAGTTTATGTTACCAAAAATTTTAAGCTTTACAGTTTATAAAAGGTAGAGGATGTTGATTTAAAGATCATTTCCTAGAATGTGCCATGACAGTGTTTTTAAACGCTCTGTTAAAAATGGATCCAGGAGAACTAAATAAAATATTTATAATTATTTTATTAGAAAAGACTTATTAAAAGATTATAATGGCTGAATCATTATACCTTCAAAAATCTTTTAGGTGTGTCTTTTCTTAGTGATAGAAGTAGACAGGTCTGCATCAGTTGCATTGACAGGTTAGTTAGAAGTAGACTGGTGAAATTGCATTAGTATTGCTGTCATGAGCACTCTGTAGAGAGTTTAAATGGCTTTTATTCAGGTTCACTTTTGTTCACTTTATTATGTTCACTTTCTGAAACATATACCTTTCTGGTTGGTCAGTTTTCCAGCACTTGTATCACCATAGTTTGCTTTGGAGGAGCTGAAATTAGTTTTTGATATACTAGCACTATTTTCAGCTAGTAAATAAAACTGGTTTTACTTTTGAAGTTACTGTATTCCAACATTCTCATTATATGCTTTTGACTAGTTTTGTGCCCTTTGGGTGAGTTGATGCCAGAGACTGTAAGTATGTAAACCTCAGAATAGTGACTTTGTTTTTTGGGCATTAGAAATGTCAACTGAAATAATTTAAAATTCATAATTCGTCTTTGTTCTCTGGTAGTCCTGTTCTCTTTTTCTTAAGGTGTTTTACATTAATCTAGAAGCTTTTTCTGATGTCCTAGGCTGGTTAGTTCCTTGTGTTTCTGTAACAATATTTCCCACATCTCTTGTTTTAATGTAGAGTGTTGGCAAACAGCTTCTGATGTCACGGTCAGACTTTTTTTGTTTTTTTTAATTAGCTTCGTCTGCTTCAAGTTGGTCTCTTAAACATAAGATAGTGGGAGTTTTTTGTTCCGTTAATTTGCTATGTTAAATTAATAGACTGATCTAGACATAGTTAATTTAGTCCAAACCTAGCTGAGTCTTTACATTTCTGCCATGGCCTTAATATTACTTTGAGCTAGACAGAGGCAGTTATACCGATTACTTCTTTTTTTAATTTATTTACCTACTTACTTTTCCTATCTCTTGCCTGTCAGCAGTCAGTGCTTTAGAAGCTTAATCATTTCAAACCAAGTATTTCAGCAAATCAAATATGAAACATTTGTGTTCAAGAGTCAAAATGTTATATAGGTGTTAATTGTTAGTAATTAGTGACTAATCAAGTAATAAAAATGATTTTCAATGGTAAATTTTCAAAGACAAAACTAAAAATGAGGGCAAAATTACGATTGGTGATTGAGATTGACGCTTCAATTTCAGCAGATACCGCTGTGTCAAAAAAGATTAGCAGTTGAGTGAAGAATACGATTAATTCTTGTTTTTTCCTTGTCTGTACTGCCTCAAAACCTCTTACTTGTGAAGGTAATACTATTGCATGTGACAGACAGGATTGTAGAATCATTTAAACGAAGGAACCTCAGGTGTAGTCCAAGCTCCTACTCACAGAAGGATTAGTACTGAACTCACACAGCATTGTCTGAAGCTCTTGTCAAGTTGGATCTTGTTTTGATTATTTCTTACTTTTGTGATGAAGAAAAAGCAGTTGGAAAGAAGAGCGGTTAAACAATTAAACTTCTCTGAAATATGAAATTAATCTTTGAAAATATTCACTGATGCATGAATTTTTGTGAAATATGGGAAGTATGCGAAGCAACATAGGAAGACTTTTTGATAAGTGAATATTTTTCATTTTAGAGCCTTGATGAGTACGAAGATGACGAAGCAGGGCAGAAGGAACGAAAGAAGGAGGATGCTATTACCCAACAGAATACGATACAAAATGAGAGTTCCATTGCAGATACCTCTAGCTCATACTTACTCCAGGTGAGATCTTAACACTTGTTCATTTTGATATTTTTCTCAGTTTTAAAACTCATACTGCCTTCTTTTTTGTACTTCTTAACAGTAGATTATACCCAACATGAAAAAAGTTTAGGAATTGACACATTACTAAAAATGGAACATTGGGTTCCATTCCTCAAACTCAGCACTGCTGAGCCCCAGTTCTGACAACAGAATCCTATTCTTCTGTAGGGGCATTGAAGGTAATGATGTTGATGTTCACTGTAGAACTTACTATGTAATGAGAGGAAGAAAAACAGGGAGATTCAAGTGAAAAATACTGACAGGTTTAGAATATTCAATTAGTTGGAGGTAGACTTTTAAATCAGGACAGACTTTCCTAATTTATTTTGCCAATTAACAAACTTTTAATTATAGATTTTGGGATTTAAGCAACACAGAACCTCCTAGGGAAAACACCTTGCCTCTGTGAAACCTTTCCTCCCTTTTTTTGCTCTCCAGTCCCCTGATCAGACTCATTCCTGCAGCCCCCCTCCCCCAGCATCAAAACATTGCCAACTATGCCTAGTACACCCCTCCATACTTATACTACCTGTGGCAAATATTCTGTCTCTTCCACATAGTGCCCTAAGTCTCTTAAGCGAGTCTTTTTTTTTCTCCTCTTCTGATACCTAACAGCATGTCCAAACCCAGCTGTACAAACTGAGGCCATCCAGCTCTGCCCCTTGACTCCAACAGAGTCAATAGCACGTGCACAGGGAATAAAATACACAGACAAACCAAGCACGTGCTTTCACACCACCTATAACCGGAGGGGGCATTGCTGGATTTGCTGGTTCTGGATGAACCTTCTTTCTAAAATTTTGCCCAGTCTTTCATATGCTCATGAGTGCTTTTAACCTTCGGAATAGCCTAAGAAAAGAAGTCTACAGCTTAACTGCCTGCAATGTGGAGATCAGTCTCCTTTTGTTTAAGTTGAATCTGTCATTTGCAATCTTTTTCGTTGTGATTTCAGCAAGTTGTCCCAGTGAAAGATATAGGGAACAGCTGCTCCCTCTTTATATGACTGAGTGCTGCAGAGAGAGTGTGGCTCCTCTCAGCTGCTGGTTCCTTAGGCTGAAGAATTCTGTTTTATTTAGTTGTTCCGTGTACAGGAGATACTCAGTAATGTTCTATACTTTTCCGGTTTGACTATATTTTGTTTGGTACCTGGAAGCAGAACCGATGAAGTGTTCAGTACAGCGTGCAGTTGTAGAGTGGTTTAGTGTTGGGTTTGGTTTTGTTCTGTTTCTTTTCTGATAATTTCTGATATCTGCCTGTTTGTCTCCTGGGTACTGCATTTACTGCTTATGTTGTGTATGCCTAATCTAACTTAACATTTTGGAGTTATCTGTGAGTGATAATAACAAGCTTAGAGGCTGATGCATATGTAAATTCAGAAACGTATTTACCTTTTGTCTCACTTGTGTACACTAGGCTTATGTACACTAAGTTTAATCTCCTGTTTCACCTCACTGCCACTCCCAGTAAAGAAATCCTGCGTGTTTTCACAGTTGACCCATATCTTTTCTGTTCAGAATAGCATCTCTGGACAGCTCCTCCCTAAATATATTGAAAAGCACAGGTCCCAGCAGGGGTTCCTATGACACTCTTCTGGGTGCTCCATCCACTGTAAAAGCTGACCATCAGAGTCCACCATTATTTTCTGTCTTCAGTGATTTATTCACAAAAGGACATTAGCTCTTATTCTAACTGTAGTTTAAGTTCTTTAAGAGGCTTTGGGGAATGTCTCTGAAATGCACTAGGCTGTCAGTTGAATTTCTCTCCTTGACACTTTTTTATAACTTAAAAAAGCTGTATTAGCTTTGTGAAGTATAACTATTCTACAAATGCTCAAATACAACATCATGACTCTGCCACATGATGTTGTATTTATTCACTCATTCCATACTTGTTCTAGGCTTCCTAGCACCACTTTATCCAGTATAAGTATCAAGTTTACTCATCTGTAGCTGTCTGATCTGTTTTAGAATCTTCTTAAAGATGATTCTAAGGTGATTATGTTACCCATTGGTACTAGGACAGTTTTAATTGAGCTTATATATGATCTCTAGTAGTTTAGCTGTTACATTTTTCAGTAACATCAGTTTCTTCAAAGCTAAAGGAGTAAATTAATGCCTCATTCTGGCAAGTAACTTTTTAAAAATTTATTTTATTAATTGGTTTTCATGTTCTACACATGCTTCTGTTGGAAGTAGACCCTTTGAATCCTGCATGAGGGAGTGCTCTGATGTGAGACTCTTACCATGCTTTTTCAGTGAAGACCAACAAAAATATTTCTGCAGAGAAACTGTCTCCTTTGAGTATGCCTCACAGAACTGGATCTGTTTGTCTTTGTAGATTTGTCAGGATTCATCATTCTGAAATGTTTTTATGCTTTTTCCAAGTTATTTGTTAGACTCTTTCTTACAGTGCTCACCCTGTTTTCACTTCTTCAGCAAATATTCCAGAAGTTGTCACTTTTAGTTTCCCCTAGTGGTATTATTACGTAATGCTTTGGCTATGGTCCCATGCCCCTTTCTTTTCATCCATATTTTCTGTTCTTCTTGACCAGCAATCTCAGTTTTTATTTACCAAACTGTCTGTATTAATTGTATCCTACGTTTCCAAGTTTGTCACCTCTGTATTCCAACAGGCACTACTTTGTTGACAGAGCACAGCAGGAGTGTCCTGTCACGGACAATACATAAGAGACTCAGGCCTCAAATCTGGCAAAGACCCAGAGTGGCACATGTACAGAACAGATGGAACCTTAGAAAGTTGTAGCTGCTAAGACTTAATCAGTTTATTACTGTCTCTCTCAACTTACTTTTTATTATAAGACGTAGAAGTTGCCCAGTTTGAACAGAATTTGACAGCAGTGTTATTTCAGCTTTGATGGCTTAGCTGCCTTTTGATTCTACTGTGCTAGTTAAGAATAATACTGTTTTTAAAAGTGGAGTTTATGTTATAGATGTAAGAATTTGAGTTGCCATTGACCAGTATGCATTTTACGTCTGTGTACTAAGCAGAATAAATACATTTATGTAGTTACAGACATTTCACTGATTGATTCATTCTTATTATCATTTCATGAAATTTATAAATCTGTAATTCCTGTGACTGTAGCAAACAAGACAGTATTGATTTCATGTTTGATGGGCAAATATGTTGCTGAATAACGTTTTATTTCCAATCCCTAATCTGATTTTTCAGTTCTGTTTTAACATTGTCATAAGTTGCTGTTCTCCTTTTTGTGGGCAAAACACACATTTTTTTGAAAACTCTGGCTGAACTTGAAGTTCTTGATCCAAAGCACAAAGATACCAGATTTGTTTAAGAATAGATCTAAAAATATAGCAGACTTCGGAGTGTTTTCCGTGAAGCAGACTTGTTTGACTGAAATTGTCTTCAGAATTGTTTTATATTGGAAATATGAAAGACGTAGGTCTGGCAATGTTATGAGCATTGAAAAACAATTCCAATCAGAACTGTTAAGTTTAGCAAAAGATAGTGTGGAAAGCCACACCTCATGAGGTGAATCAACATTAAATCCACTCCCAGATGTAAGTACTGTATCTGGCTCTGACTTTCTTGCTTGATTTTCCTCCTATTTTTAATGCTGCAATTCAGTTATTTTCATCTTGTGAGTTACAGTGCTGTGGACTACTCCACAGGGATTGCAGACTGAGTGATAAGTCATATGTAAGGAAGCTTAGAACCCTTACAAATGAGCTAAAAATTTGTCCTGCTAAGGACAATTGTAGTCAAAGCTACTATTTCAAAGTTAACTAAAGTTACTATTTTAAATGGAAATCTTTAGAGTCTAGTCATTATAGAAATGTAGCTCTTACTTAGCAGAGATGGCAAAACAAAGTAGCACAAAACTTGCTCCTTAGATATAGTAAGATATAGTAAGACATAGCAATGTCTTTCTTGCAGTTGGAGAGAAATGATACATTCAGGGTAGTGAACATCTCTTATTTGAAGAAGGTGTTGGTATGTACGTACTGTACAGATAACTCGCATCAAAAAAACCCACAAAATTTGGCTGGAAAAAACAATTAGTTTAATGATGATTTATTTTTAAGTCTTTTAGGAGACTTGCTCAGTTCCAGAACATGAAAAAAATGCTATTATTGGCTACTGCTCAAAAAAACCCCACCAGACCCCGCCATATTCAAGGCTTTTACTCTGTATTAAAGCATCCAGTTGTGCTGATACCATCATCAGGTACCTCTTTGAATTCAGTTGTTTGTGTATCTGGTCTCCTAAAATATTTCCCAAATACATGCCCTTCTTTGTGTAGTCTTGTGGCAGTAGGGTTGACATAACTTTTGTATTGTTACAGAAGGGATATCTGAACATGGTAGCATGTTGTGATGTCTGTATGTCACCTTATGATGTTCCTGGAAATTGGGAGGGTAAATTGGGAAGGCTGAGAGGATTAATTAAAAGTTAACATAAAACCTTGCAGTGGGAGACATATGTATATGTCCTCCATCCATTAAAACCTTCAAATCACAACTGGCCTTTTTTCTGGCAGTTATGCTATAATACCACAAAAGCATCATTCTCAATACCTTGGAAGGGCTTTGAAATCCTTTGGTTTATGTTATCTTTGATTCCTTTCTGCTTGCATTGTATTTCAAATGTTGTAGTGTCTGTGAATGCTAGCTATGCTGGGCACTGTATGAGCACGCTGCAAAAAAATTCGTCAGCTGTGAACAATTGACATTTAAGATATGGGAGTTGAGTCAATATGTATTGTCAAAAGCATCAAGTAACAACATGTTTGAGATCTTAAAAATATTTGTCATTGCTAGAACAGATATAGGTGAATAAACTTAGATGGACTTTCCTCTCCCTGGCAAACTTGAATGAAGCATGTCAGAATGATTTTTGCTACTAACATAACTTGAAAATAGGAATCAATAGAGTGAGAGATAATGGGTTTTTTGCCTGTGAGCATGGAAAGGGGA